AGTCATAATGGGCCTGCAAGGAAAATGGTAACTAAAATGTGGCCTGTGACAAAAATGAGTTTGACACCCCTGCGATATAGTATCAATATACCATGATCAAGTTATGATAACGGTGCAGTTTGACAACTGTAGCGCGTGCAAAGCCTGAGCACTTCACCGTGTAGTAGATGATATCGCGCCGATATCAATCTTTTAGGTCACAAAATCTTTGGCAAAATATTGTTCCAACTTCTTAACAGAGTTTCCTTTAGTCACATATCGTCATGTACTGTAGAAGGTTTTCCTCCAGCATACCGCACAATAGCTCCTCGTGGACTTTACCTTGTCTCTGTATGAAGATCCTCAGCAGGGGGTGCGCAGTGGACACGGCCTTGCAGAAGTTGTCATCATTATTGATAGGCAGCAGGTCTCCGTGCACGTCGGCGTACCCGATCATCACCTCCATGTTGGCGATGCGGTGGATGTGCAGGATGAGCTTGTAGAACTCCTCGAACTTGCCTGGCTTGAGGCGGTCCACCGAGAAGCGGCGGAACTCGGCGCCATACTGAAACGATTGAAAGACAAGCTTAAAAGAAAGAATTTTTTTTTTTGTTTTTGTTTTAAAAACAGGGGAGACAAGTCCAATTAAATAAAAAAATGAGCTAATTTACACTTTACAAATTTCCTTCAGCCTGAGTTCACTGAACAATCAAATAGCTTCATTTTGAGCTGTCTTACGCACACAAGAACAAACAGACAAGCCACAAGTGAAGGTTTCGGCCAGGTCATCATGTGACTCATAGACCTCGGAGCAAAGGCGAGAGATGCCACGTTGAGGTACAAAGGCACGCCTCGCTAAACCAAAATAATGCACCATTACAGGAACAAGCTAACATTAAAGGAACAGAAGAGACACGGGAGTAGTATAAAATGAGTGCTATTTTGTTTGCACAATTACGCAAGAATCATATAACCAATTTATACACACACACACACACACACACACACACACACACACACACACACACACACACACACACACACACACGAATTCCAAGGATATCAATGGTATCATGATACATCTCCTCCTACACATATCACTTATAAAATACGATTCTGATATTTTTCAGACGATACCAATGGTAGTACGATGCATACTATTGCAACAAAACCATTATCTACAAAGTAAATGAAAACTCCCTGTACAGTATGATATTATTCTGTATCTACTACATACATGACACACGATGGAATATTCACACAATATTTTGTCAATGATATCTGACATCACAATACGGGGATCTCGCGATAATTGAGTTACTGGACAAAAAGCACAGGTGAGATCTATGTCAGGAAAGAAAACTCACAGTCTGAAATTGTGTTTTTTTTTTTTTAAACCATTTGAGGTTAAAAAAATTGAATCCATCACATCACAGCCTTCATAGCCGTAAACTAGTCCGAATGTAGGATAGCTGGTGATGTAACACCTGGGAGTGATGCATCCTTCAGTTGAACATTAATCACGTCATGTTCAGGCACGTTTGCCCCCTGCGGGCTTGTCTTCCGTTTTTCATGGCAAATTACGATGGGAGATTCACTTTTATCTCCAACAAACCAGTTTTCAAGCAGCTTCCTCATTGCCTTGGAATTGCATGCAAGAGTCCACATTTGGGTGGGTGGAGGTCAAGCGCACCTCCTCACAAGTGTTGTTGAAGATGCGTTTTCTTCAAAGATATCAACGATTGTGCACTTGCTGTGACATGATACTGTTGTTTTTTTTTTTCTGAATAGTATCGCAAGGATATTGTATGGTGGATATTCAGTTACATAACTATCAGGGTGTATCGTATCATTTTCGAAAAAAATTTTAAGTGTGTGTGTACTCTGTGACTAACCACCCATAATCATATGGAAGGGCGAGTTATTTTGCGATGGCCATCTCTACTAAATCAAATAAAATAAATTAGTTGGGTTCCAGTGATGTTTCCTAATAATCAATTGTTTTTGAAAATCTACGTAAATCAAAGTCGTGGCATCAACATCCCACCAAACACAAGTTTATTTGATAGTAATTTTAATTGAATAAAACTCAATACTTTGATATTTGACCAGTGATAACATGATACGTCAGAGTAACTGAAGAAATTGCAAAGCCAAATTTCCGCAATATTTGAACAAGAGTATTGTTGTGGTATCATAATAGTGACAATTAGTAATAATGGCAAGAGATCTGTTAATTTTATCTCATCACGAGTGTGATAATGATGATCAGATGTAGGCTACATCTGATCATCATCGGCCGTATTGTGCTAAATCATGTAGCACAATACGGCCGATTTGACAAGCTCGTGATATTGGAAATGTATATATGTATCATAGACATAGCAATATTGATTTGCCGAAGAAAACGCGCAATGTGCTTTTTGCCAGCCATATCAGTGGTTATCACGATACAGTGGATGCGCTTCAGTCACGCTACGATGATAAAAAACTATCAACATCGGATGCAACTGCACAAAAATCGATAATCCCCCAAACTCAGCCAATTTGGTTACTTTTCATGGTTCATCTCTTTTGTCAGTCAGCGTCCAAAACAACAAGGTTATTTGAACTCAGAACAATGTACAATAATTTGACACATGGCATTCAAACTGAAATACTCTCTAAATTCTGGAAAATTATATATTCACATTTCCCAGCTCGAAATCAGGTTAAAATTTGCAAAAAATGAATGCAGTACGTCAAATAAGGACTAAAAATAAGCTTTCCAGTGCAAATAAATACATTTTCTATGCCTACTCGGAATCAAGTTATCGCATTTCGGCTTTTAACGCCAAACAAACATTTCAGCGATCATAACAAACAATTCAATCTCACCCACCTTGCTTTTCACCTCCACGGCGTTAAGATCCACGTTCCGCAGTGGTTGAGACCGATTAAAGCTCCGGTTCATTTTTGGTAGTTTTAAAAACACACACGAACAGATGAGGAAAGGAAAACTTGTGCCCGCTGAAAAGGGGGCTCCCAAATGCAATGAAGTCCTTCGGGTGTGTTTCTTTAGATTATTTCCGCTCCCAAAAGCCTTCTTTAAAATCGGACTAAAACTCGACTCCGCCTTTGAGAAGGCGACTTTCCTGCAGAAAAGGTGAAGAGCAACTCGCCGGGTGGAGTTTAAGAGGCTTGGTTTAAGTTTTGAAATGACGTCAGCTCTCCTAAAAAAAATAAAATAAAAAATAAAAAAAGCCGCCTTCACTGTAACTCGTTTATTACGATTTCAAAGAAAAAAATCCAAGTGCCGTGTCCATGATCATTCATTAAATAGATATAAACTCGATACAGTAACTTATTAAATTCTTCTAAAGAGAAGAAATACAATAATCAACCAAAGAATAAAAACTTCCACGCAAGTGAAAAAAGTGAATATTCCTATTTACACTTGTTTATGAACGCAGCATTTTCACATAAGTTTACGGCAGCACACTGACTCACGCCGTTTACAGTACTTACTTTCAGAAAATAACCGGGCAAAAGTGAAAAATAATCTCGGAATAATTTCAAGGTAGTAAGTATTTTTTGTCCTCTTGCGAATCATCTTTTCAAGCAACTGACGTTACTACTGTTTTTACGACCTTCGAGCACAACGGCTGATGATTGGGCAGATTGCCACGTACTGATTAATGACTCAAACTAAATACATAAACAAGGATATAATTTCACTTTATTCTCACTTTATTTTAATAATATGATGGTCTACATTGTTCCAAGTTTTAAATTGTAAAAGATCGTACATCATTTTATATTGAATTGATTTGCGACAGTTTTTTACAGTTTACGGAATTTTAAAATATCATAATTAAGCACATGGCGCTACGCCGTGGTCAATTGATGGTAGTGCACCAACGCCACTTTTCTGTTCAGAGCTCAAGTGGATGCAGTTTACAAGATTCACCAGCATGTGTCAATAAACGATCAAACAAAGCAAAGACAAGTTGGATGAAAACCAAAAAGCGGTCCAAGAGAATAACAAGAAAGCATACCACAAAACTATTAATGTGTCATGAATCAAGTGATAGTTCAATTTGAGTTGAGAACCACATCACGACATTAGCATTATACACTTACATCATACAAAGAACTTTGTGAAGCCGTCAAACTTTCCATCCAAGAAGTTAAAAACTGTCTCACAGCTTCATGTGTTTCCTTACTTGGATCGTCATTTCAACAGAACACACGTTTTCATTATCTTTGTCAACAGTAGACATCGGGATACTTCCGGTGACAAAGTGATAACAACCTTTGACTTGAACTCGATTCCATGACCAATGATGACTGTGTTTGGGGTCCACAAAACGTTAACGGTTTAAGGGGAGCCAAACCACTATTACTGGGCTTGTGAAAGGCATCTGCTCACAATCATGTGTAGAATGTTTAGTTGGGCTGCCTTTGACGAATACAGCAAAATATAATGACCCTTCAATGGCAGAAACATCACGACATCAACTTGTAGCCAGTGTTATTTTAGTCAACGAAAGTAACGAAATAACTCAAATTAAAATTGAAAAAACAATTTCCATAACAAAATACAATAAAACGAAAAAGCTTTGAAAAAAACTCCCTGAATCAACATTTTCCGTTCATAAAACAAATGATAATCATAGCGAAAGTGTCATTAGGTTTCGTTGCTGCAAAGTAATTAAATGCACGAGCCTTTGGCGGTTGATTTTTCAATGTGTTTATTTCGAAAGTACTGTATGGCCGCTCGGCGGAAAAGGAGAAGTTCGAACAGTCATCTGGGAGTTATAGTCCTCTGAAACGAGTGTCGCACAAAATCAACGTCATCAAACAGCACCCAACAACAACAAAAAATAGCCACCTGAGGACGGGAGTCCGAGGAGACAAGTTTAGGTGGGTTTTTTTGATTGATGGCTTCCCTGCTTTTGTCATTTAAGTAAGGCCGAAATACCACGCAAGGTAAAAGTGCTCTCATTTTGCACCGTGTCTAGTACAAAATGTTTTAAACCAAAATTTTGTTGAATTTTTACTTAACAATGTCGTATTTAAGTTTCTGGTGTGGCAGTAATGCTCACTTGTGCTTCGGCGGTATAGCACACACTTGTGTGGTACGTATACTGTACAGCTGTTGTGTTAGTGACAGTTTGATAGCTGACCACTACAGGGTGCCATTGCGACATAAAAGTAAGCTATTAAAGGGGACCGGGGATTTCTACTTTTCTTCCCTCTCTCACCTTCACACCCTTTTATGTTTCCCACAGTGACACATTGACGACATGTCTGCTTTGCTTTAATCGCACCACGTCCCTCCTCATCCTGGCCGGACCCTTTTGATGCCTAAAGCCCTCCAGGCCGCTTGTGATTCAGCAGCACTCCAGCGGCCACTCCGGCCTGCCCACTGGGGTCCTGCTTGTCCCTCTCAAGGAAAACACCAGCCATCTGGTCTCGCATGGGGTAAGAGGTCAACTCTCAGGCTGGTAATGAGGATGGTGTTGCCAGGGGGATGAAGGAGGGGTGGTGTGTGCGCGCGTACATGTGTGAGGCCAATGGCGGGGTCTGTCTGCTTCCTGAGTGAGCATTAAACATTAACGAGTCTGGCGGACGGCGTGCGGAGGACATGTTCGACAAGCGGAAAGAGCCAAGGATCCTGTCACTAATATCTATAAGTACAAACCCAATTTCGATAAAGTTGGGATGTTGCCATAAAACTCAAAGTTAATGATTATTTGAAAAAAAAACATTATTGTTGATCAGTTTGAAAATGAAATATCTGTACAGTAGTCTCACGTTATTAGTGGTGACATCACTGTGTAGCGCTAACACATGGGCTGCGGAGAGAACGTCTCGGGCAGGATTACGGCTCCCTGAGTCTACAAAAACGGTATCTGTGTTGTCTACACTTCCAATGCCTATAAATAAACTACAGAGATCGCGATTGTGTGACCTCAGAGGACCACAACGCAATCGCAAAACGAACGCCCAGTGGGCCTCCTGCACTGTGGAGAGCTAACTCGAGTTAACTAACGGCACCCAAAGCTTATTGTCTTGTTTGCATTTGTATCCGACTCACTGACTGAGTTCTTTCTTTTTGAATTCTAGAACAAACTAACTCACCAATCAACTAAATTTATTTTAGAAATTCAATCAGCTGCTCTTTCATTGATCTCTCCAAGTGTGGGTTTCTCTGCGTGTGTATCTGATGGGTATACCCCCCACCCCTCCACACACACACACACACACACACACACACACACACACACACACACACACACACACACACACACACACATATATATTTCCATGTGTGCACGTGTGCAGGAAGTGGTTGCCGTCGAGGCTTTTGCATAACCTCCCCCCACCGTGTGTGCTGATGAAGAGAGTCTCTGTCGAAGCTATCAAAGCCAATGTCATCGCTCTTTTCTTTGTCTTTCTTTGCAGATTTTTTCTCCCCCGCAGGACCATAGGGGTGAAGGTGGAGGAGTGCGTTGTTGTTGCTCTACAGCCGTTTTAGCGGGTAAGCTACAAAAGTTGAGTCTCAAGCTGCAAGGCGGCGTTGAAACGCACTTAGGAGTATATGGAAATAAAATGTGAATATAAAAAGTCTACGCACGCCAGTTCAATGTTTTGGGGATGCTTTTCTTCATCTAGAACTGGGTGCTTATTCAAGGTGGAGCGGGTCACGAATGAAATACGAACGAAACACAATAGTAGTCACCCCCCCCAAAAAAAAAAGAAAGTGAGAAGACTATTAGCACATCTGAAGTTTATATGGGATGAACTTGAAATGGTGCCAGGTGTGTGCTGAGTTGAATGTGATTGGTTCATGATGGACACATCCCAGTTGCAAGTGGGGGTGCACACTTATGCAACCACATTCTCTCCCTTGTTTATTTTTACTTGCCCTCTTGATTTTTTTTTTCCCCCACCAATTAAGTTGTACAGGTTATAGGTCACATAAGCTGCGGGGGAAGGTTTCAAATGATTGATTTTGGTCTCATTTTCCACCAAAACATGGCATTTCAACAGGGGTGTGCAGACTTTTTAGATCTATTGTGAAGTCCCCCCGAGTCCCACGCACACTCCTTTCGATATTGTTTCATGGGGTGACTCGATGGACCCCTTGGTTCCTCCGCTTGTGACGTTACCATGGCAATAAGGGGTCACCCTTTGCACCCTGAACTCTGGCCTTTGCTCCTAATCAGGCTGAGGGGGCACCTTATCTTAGCGCTACCCACAAAAACAAAAAATAAGACCTCTGACACAATCAAGGAAAAGAAAGGATACCTTGCAGGAACGTTGTGGTGGGGGCCGGGGGGGGCACATGTTAGAGTCGGCTGGAGTGCCAATTGAAGGGTTGTACGGTGAAAAATGATATTTTAGACTTGGCATGAAGTTGAGTTCAGGCAGACAGTATTTGAAATTCAGCACTCACTGAATAAATGATCTCATTTTATTTTTAATAGTTAGATTTCAAAATATTTGGGGGGAAAAAAATAAAACTAGCAAACTACTCAACTAGCAAAACAAGGAAATTAGCTACAAATTCTTTTCAAAGTGATATAAAACAATACGTTGTCGACTTCTGGATTTTTGTTCTGTTTTTTTTTAATTTTTTTTTTTATGTATTGATAATCATTTGTATTTACACAACCTTCCCCCCACCTCAACTCCATTTGAATGTTTTTGCTTGCATTTGTCACGGTGGCTTATTAGCTTGCTTATTTTTGCGACTATGCAGCATTCACACACAAATAATGTGTGTGTGTGTGTGTGTGTGTGTGTGTGTGTGTGTGTGTGATAAATGTTCTGAATGCACTGTGGCTGCTGAGCTCCCAGCCTTCTCGCATTGTCACTCTCCTCTGGGGGCTTTGAGTGTGTTCGCTAGCTAACTTGCATCATCGCCATGGAGACCCCACCAACTATGACCCCCGCCCCCCTCCCAATCGTCACTGCCTTTGCACGTTCACCTTGCAGCCCCCCCCCTCCCCCCCTACCTCTGGGCTCTCTCTTTTTGTCTGCTGACAAAGCTTGACAAACAGCATGTGACTGGCAGGGCTTAGCGCCACTTGTCCATTCACGTCTGCATGCACACGGAAAACTAAGGAGCCATATTGATTTTTATTGATGAACCCTCACAGCCAGCAGAGAAGGAAACAAGGAAAGTCAGCGGGAATCGTCTCAGTGGGGGTCCCAAAAAAAAAACAAAAACATGACATGCCTTTTTCATTTGATTGTTTTTGCTATTGATCAACACTGTCCGATTCTGGACCAGACCAAATAATGATTTGGGATTCCAGAAATGCAGGCTCTAACAAAGTGCAATAACCAAAATATTTATTGACAGAAAAGCGCCCCGACGAAGTAACAAACAGAAATCGCTGGACACAAGGAGCCAGAAGAAGCAATGCATCAACAAAAGCGCTTGCATGAGGTAAGGTACTCGGAAAACACCAAAAATTAACAAACTAAATGTCAAGAAGCTAATCACATGAAGCCAAAGCTCAAAAGCAATAAGGAAAAATACTTGAATCTATGAATAACGAGAGGTCTAGAAAACAATGCTTGAAGCACTCCCGCGAACAAGGTCAATAATCCGACCAGAGAGTAGACAACATGGCAGTCCTTAGATACATGGCAGGCTTGACTGGTAAATGCGGAACAGGTGAGCGTGCTGGAGCGAAACACCGTCCACTCTAGCTGGGGCTGAAAACAAAACAAACATGACAAACAACCCTTCTTCACAGTTGTGTGCCCCAGGAAAGTGGTGACTTTTGCCATGCATTAAGTCGCAAATGTGGCAAATAAAACATGACTTACAATTTTTTGATTTATTTCATGTATTTTAGATGATCACATGTACTTAATAAATGACTTAAAAATTACTTAAATTGACCTATTTAATTTATCCACCATCTTTTTAAAGCGGCTAAGGAAGGTTACAAATGCCAATTCTGTAAATGTTATTTTGTTATGATAGAAAATATACAGTAAATATAAAATATTAAATTTCATCATTGGCAATGTGATTGCATTTCTTCCTCAATTCCAGTACAGTTTTTGTTTTACTTCACATTTTTGGGGTGTGCACATTTGACGCTTATGAATGAATTTAGGAGTCAGCGTATAAAGAAACTAGAATAAAATTAAAGTTGATTTTGTTTTACCAAATGAAGCAAATCCCCCAAAAGTCACTCCAATGCCAAATTTTTAATGTTTTTTTCTTTTTTTTTTTTTTTTTGGGACAGTTAACAAATTCATCACACTTGCATTCATTTCAATGGGGAGAGACAATTTAAGATGCACTTTTTTTTTTTTTTTTTTTTTTTTTAACGGACCTGACGTGACCCCCGCAGTCCACCTGTTGGTGTCCAGTGACGCTAGCACAAGTCACGTCTGAGCACCCGAAACATTTTGGCCGCATAATAGTACCCACAAGTAAATGCATCTAGACTTGACTTGATAGATGAAAGTGGCTCGCCTGCTAATGAAGCCGCATGCGTATTAATTAATCAACTTAACCTGGGCCGGCTGTAGCCCACCCTCCACTCTGCGCCCTAAATCACACAAAGTTGCTTCAAGGATTCATTCAAGATAAACGGCAGGGAACAGCGCGGGCGATCGTGTGTGTTTAAGGCAAACACGGCAAGCGAGAGCGGGAGGGGTGAAAATGATTAACCCCGTAAGACATTGGCCTAATTAAATCTGCTTAAGTGAGGCGAGCAACCTTGAAAGGCGCCAGGCGGTCAGCTGAACTCATGTAAAATGGATGTCGGCGTACACCGGCGACACGTGTAATCTTTCGTCGGCGGGCGGGCTCGCCGCTAATAGGCTAGCCGCGCTTTTGCCCAGGGTCAAACCTGCGTTGCTGCCGCGCGGCTATTTGCACAAGCGGCGGCCGCTTTTGAATACATTTGCGCGGGCATTAGCATGTAGCTGCTATTAACCCTTTCGTGCACCCTGTAACCTGTAAACATGATAAACTGTCCACTGGAGTAACCCTTGTCCCTCAACGGGTTAATCGTGTGCCGACAGGATTTAGCAGGTGGCAAAACTGCATTCGTGCACTGCATTTGTCAATGTGCAAATTTTCACAGACTGTAATTAGTAGAGAAGTGTGTGTTTGGGTGTTTCCTTGATTTGGTTTAAAAAAAAATATATATATATATATATATATACACACACACACACATTATTTTTATTATTATATCATTTATTTGAAAAAATGTTTCACTGATCATTACAGCAGAAAACGCGTGACTGCCAGTACAAAAGTGAGTATTTTGAGCATAAATGGTGTGAAACGGTTGCACAATGTGGCGTTGTCAGCAGGCGACGTTGGCCCAGTTTGTGGCGGAATGCGTAACTGGCAATTTCCTCCCAAATCCGGTGCGAACACACAAATCGCCTCTTTCACGCCGCGCTCCCTAATCAGGCCAACACGTCATTCAACGTGCCTCGAGTGTCTGTAATCAAGGCTCGAAATGGCTACTTTGCTTGATTCCTTGCCATCACCCGAGGAAATCAAGTGGCTTCTTTCACACCTGCTGCTGCGCCGCGTGTCAGGGATTCCGAGGCCCGTTTCTCCTCCCGACGCATTCCTGCGGTTTCGCACCGCACTTTGGAAAATACGCCCCCCCCCCCTCTCTTTTATCCGAGGGCGGACGAAAAAAAAATCCCTCCCCCTCCCCAACCCCATTGCAACCACCCGTCTTCACTTTCCAGCCTGCGGTGCGCAATAAAAATATGAGAGTTTGACGACTGGCAGGGATTTTGGCAAGCTCCCGTGAACATAGACTATGTCTGTTTGGGAAACACGTGTGCCAAACATGCTTCGAAGCAGAGCCCCCAATCATTGCTCAACTTTTTTCTTTTTCATATTGGGGGGCACGGGGAGATTGACATCACTTTCCATATTTTCTGCACTATAAGGCGCACCTAAAAGAATTCACTTTTCTCAAAAGCCGGCACTGCGCCTTATAATCTGATGCGCCTTCTATGTGGATCAATATTCTGATTTCTTGGGCGTAGTATTTTAAATGTTCTGTAAAGCGCTTTGTTTCAGCTGCAGCGGTTGTGAAAGCGCTATATACCGTATTTTCACACCTATAAGGCGCCATTAAAAGTCTAAAATTTTCTCCAAAGTGGACAGCACGCCTTATAATGCGGAGCGTCTTGTGTATGCGCTGAGTACCAAAACCTGACAGAGAGCCAACACGCGTTTATATAGAGAAAAGGCGGAAGTGAATGAGGACAGGCATGCGGCGAAGAAGTCGGCCAATCAGTGAAGGGTGGGCGTGTATATATAAACATAAATAGAGAGAGAGAGAGAGAGAGAGAGAGAGAAAGAAAAGGCTGACGTGAGTGAGGACAGGCATGCGGCGAAGAAGTCCGCCAATGAGTGAAGGGTGGACGTGTAAGTGGATGCTAAAGGCACGCCCCTAGCAGGTACCAGCACCTGTATAAAGTGTGGATATGTGCGTTATTGCAAAACAACTTCGGTTTTGGTTTCTAAGA